CAGCCCCACACAAGGCTACTAACCCCAGTAGCAGTCCCTGCCTATGGCACTGTAGCCACTCCAGGCTGGCCATGGCAGGTGGTAGGCCGCTCCAACCCTCCCTGTCTGCCCCCATTTAGTCAGTTAACTGGTAAAACTTTGCTGAACTGAATAATTATTTAGATGGGATTTTACATCCCTACCTCTCAGTGGCCACCCTGATGTCCCAGAACCACAGCAATTTACATTAGGGATGTTAACTAATGATTAATTTACTAGTTGAGTAGTTGCTGGAATTTCTCTTTGATGAAAAAATTGCTGCTACTGATTAAATTTTTTTAATTAAAAAATTATCATCAGGCTGGACGCTCCACACAAGGTTGCTCACGGACGGGCCACTCTGAGCTGCATTCCAGTGCGTGCTCGCGGCCACCACTCTGCTCATGCTCACATCCCCTCGCCCCTCACATTTGGTGTCCCAGCCAGCGCATGCTAAAGGCTGGCCACTCAGTGCACGTGCCCCGCACCTGCAGGGAGAGATGTGTGGTGATAGCAGTGGCAGCGGCAGCAGCGGTGGCTCCAGCTCCAGGACCTGGGTTAGAGCAGTGGGTGCCTGGCTCGGAGGGGAGGGAAGGGGGTGAGCATGGCATCCTAGCCAGCACATGCTCCTCAAAGCCAGATGCTCAGCGAATGCACCCCAGCACCTGGAGGGAGATGTGCATAGCAGTAGCAGCAGTGGCACTGGGCATTAGGTTGGGAGAGGAGGGCGGTAGCGTTACAGTGGGGGGTAAAGAGGGCTGGTTCTGGGGGCGGGGATAGAGATTGGGTTGGCAGAGTGGGGGGAGAGTAGGAATCCCAGTACTGCATGCAGCTGTCATGGAGAGCAGAGGAAGAGCACCCGCTTCCTGAGAAGTTGAAGCTGGCATGCAGTCCCAGGACTCATACACACCCTGCACAGGCAGGCAGCAGAGGGAAGGAAGTCCCCGGCCCAGTGACAGACCCTGTGTTTCAGGAAGTGCACCAGTTTTTTATGGGCGGGGAAGGGAGGAGAGGGGAGGGGAAGAGCAGCTCGTGTGCTTCCAAAGACCCAGGATCCCCAGGTGCCAGCCGAGTTGTCCCTATCCCCTCTCCCTGGCTGGATCCCCGCTCCACCACTAGCACCCTGCCACCTGCCCCAGCACCCACCAGCACCTTGCCCCAGTACTCTGTCCCCTACCCCTAGTTGGGGCCACATTAGTGAGGCTTGGGGTTTTTTGGAGGAGTTGATTTTTGAATCTTGCTTGTGTGGCCCTGACTGACTTTTCTGTGGGCCAGTGGCCCCTGACTCAAAAAAGGTTCCCCACCCCTCTTATAAATAAAGACAATGCTGAAACATTGTGTTTGACATAATATTATTTAAAAATGAAGCCTGGCCAACAAGCCCCCATCTGGCTGCAGCATCATAACACTCCTGCATCCCCCAACCCCAAACTTGAGCCTATGATACACTGGAACCCCTTGTCCTGAGCCTCTCATCCCCTAACTCCTGCACCCCCACATTCCCAGTCTTCTGCCACAACACTCCTGCCCCATCCACACACTGCAAATCTGTGTCTTGAGTCCATCATACTCCCAGCCTCCCTGCCCTGAGCCCCTCATGCACACCAGCCCAAACTCCTGCACCTTCACAGCCACCAGCCTGTGGCTTGCTCAGCACCCCAACCCTCCACCTGACCCCAACACTCTCCAGCCTGGAGCCCCCTCTCTGAGTCAGCATCCTCTTCTCTACTTCCTCCTGCACCCAAATTTCCTCCCCGAGCTTGTCCTTCTCACCCTTCTCCTTTTTTTGTGATGGTATGCCCCGGGACCTATATGCCCCCGTTATCCCCCAGCATGGCCTCTTCTCCCTCCCCCCCAACAACTTTCACCCTGGTACGTGGCTCTTCACACTCTATCACTGCTATTTTGGCTCTTCATCTCTAATGGGTTTGCCACCCCTGGACTAGTTGATAGGCACTTCCGCATTCCTCCTTTGAAATGTACAAGAGCCCTCCCTGGGGCTCTTGTACATTTCAAAGGAGGAATGCAGAACTCTGTGTGCAGCCTAGGGCAAGAGGAAGTCCTGCTGATTCTGGGCTGCACACAGGCGTGCCAACTTTGAAATGTACAACAGTCCTCAGCAGGGGTTCTTTTGCATTTCAAAGCAGAAATAACCTCATGGAGCTTGGGGTCAGCGGGGAACTCAGAATCCCCTGCTGACACAGTGCTCCATGCTGCGCTGCCGCTTTGAAATGCTGAGGCGTTTCAAAGCAGCAGCACCTCAAAGCTGAGCTTGGGCTCTGTGCAGCGCTGCCCCATCGAAATGCCGCTGTGGCATTTCAAAGGGACAGCACTCCATAGAACCCGGGGTCAGTTCTTTGCAGTGCTGCCCTTTTGAATGCCGCTTTGGTGTTTCAAAGCAGTAGCACTGCACAGCTGAGGCAGAGACCAGCTGTGCAGCACTTCTGCTTTCATATACCCCTTCTTCTTCCCCACCCTCTTTAGGCAGCAAGGGGCGGGGGGATTGACTAGTCCTTAGCATTCTTAATTTACATCCCAGTCTGGCAGTGTTTTACCTGACAGCCTGGCTCTTGTATGGCTAAATTCAGTAGAACAGGTCAGAGAATGGCAAAAAAAATTAAGCAAGAATAAAAGACACGTCAAGATGTAAGAAAAAATGTCCAACAAGGTACTCTTCATTTCCTGGCTGAAGAAAGATCTCAGTGTTTGTTGCATCAGTGGGGTGGTGTACTCGCTTCATGAACTGTCATGGTCTCTGTCTTCGGCAGCAAACAAAAAGCACAAAAGCTACTGAGAGACCTGGAAGAAAAAAATTAAGTCTTTCCAAAGCTTTAATAAAAAACAAAAAGGAATATGCACTTGAGCGGTCACAAAGAGGAAATATGGATGAAACACCAATGACATTTTATCTCCTGAACAGTAACTGGGGTGCTGGCCATGAAAAAAATCCATTTTGGTTTTTTCATTTTTGATCAATGGATCAAGGCTCTACCCTGTTGTTGTTTTCAAAAGAAAAACCATAAAATGTCCTGGGGTGTCATTGTGCACGCACGTGAAAGGGATGGATGAATGAAAGTGTGATTACTGAATGGCTGGAAAAAGTGTGGAATTAAAGACCACGAGCACTTCTCAAGAAACCACCTGTGCTTGTTTGGGACATGTTCAGGGCACATAGGATAGATGAGGTGAAACGTGGCCAGAAAATGAAAACTACTTGACCGTAATTAAGGATGTTAATTAACGAATAATTTACTAGTTGAGTAGTCGATGGGCACTTCTGCATTTCTCCTTTGAAATGTACAAGAGATCCCACTGGGTCCACTGAGTCATCCACCTTGTGGTGTGGTACAGCTACTACATTCAGTGTTTGATTCGCCCCCCCCCCCCCCCCCCCCCCCGCCCGCATCCGCCCT